ATGTCCTACCCTCCGATCTGGGAGGCACGGGGCGGGACTTCCGGCGCGCTGGTGCCGCGATGGGAGGTGCAGCTCTTAAGACTTTTAAGTTCCCGGGCCCTGCACACGTGGGCGCGGCAGCGTGCCTTCCAGCCTCTTGGTGTCCAGGGAGGGTTACCCCATCGTGTCAGGGGCGGCCTGGCCTCAGCCGCTCCCGGGATTGGGCAAAGGCCTGACTCAGTTTTAAAGTAACTCACCTGAGTACTTTCTGGGAACTGGTAGGAGTTGGATCTGGGAGTGAAGGTTGATGGCTTGCAGGACAGTTGCTGACAGCTTGGCTGTCAGCATTTCTGAGTGCTGCAGTCGGGCAGAGAACAGAACTCGTGCTTTAAACCAACAGATCCAGAGACAATGGCCCCGATGGGATGGAACCCGAAGGCGTCATCGAGGTGAGATTGTCCAAACAGTCTTATCCTCACCCAAGGTAGACTATCAAGGAGCAGCTGGCTTCCCTAGAGGTTGGGTAGATTGTGGGTCTTGAACCTTTGGTGCAGGCACCAGTTCTGTTAACTCAATTGCTAAAGTCTAGCCCCACCTCTTTTACTCAAGAAATTTCTTGCTATCCTACAGAGTAACTGGAATGAGATTGTTGACAGCTTTGATGACATGAACCTCTCGGAGTCCCTCCTCCGTGGCATCTATGCCTATGGTTTTGAGAAGCCCTCTGCCATCCAGCAGCGAGCCATTCTTCCTTGTATCAAGGGTGAGTCAGCCGCAGAAGAGGTTCTGGACTGTCCCTGACCTGGGTAGAGTGGCACCTGATTGGTGGTGCCTGTCTCATATCAACCAGGGACAAAGTAATCCCCCGTTCATCCCAGCTTGGCTTCTGGTCTGTGCCCTTGCCTGGTTCATGCCTCGGACACATAAATTGTTGACTTTCCTTTAATTAGATAGCATTGTAACCCTTCACGCCTGTTTATACAACCGTGTTTCTAACCCAACTTGGTGGAACATCAGATGAGGCAAATCTGTCCCTATTTCCTGATAATTCCCACTGTGTAACTTGATTATTGACGTAGTTTGTGAAGCATAAATGCTTGACTCCTAATGTCAGCTGCTTATTGAATTTGTTAAGCTAACCCTTTAGTGTCTGACGACCCCAAAGTATGTCTTCTACCACATTTAATTCCTCCTAACTTGTTTGTTTAGGTTACGATGTGATCGCTCAAGCCCAATCTGGGACTGGGAAAACGGCCACATTTGCCATATCGATTCTGCAGCAGATTGAATTAGATCTAAAGGCTACCCAGGCCTTGGTTCTAGCACCTACTCGAGAACTGGCTCAACAGGTGAGAGTGGCTTCTTTTCCCTCCTAAAGGGCTGATTTAGGGATGATGAGCATAATCCAAAGATCAGAGAAGTCTACTCGACCATCACCTTGGTGTAGGGGAAGAGAGATGCTCTAGTGTAAGTAAAATAGGCTGAAGACGTCTAGCTCTTTGAAGACTTGTTGGGTTAATTAGAAGCTGTTTCTTACCTAAACATAACCACTATTTCCTCCACCCATTTCCTGAGTCAAATGGGAAGGTTGTTGGGTGGAGCCTGGCTGGCTGGGCAAGTTTGGTAGTTGTTTTATGAACAAACTCCCTGGCAATGGGCAAAGAGACACCTCATTGATGGTGTTGCTTTTTATATCAGTTAGGGGCAGAGTAAAAGATGTTGCTTTTATGTCAGGGGCAGAGCAGATGGACAGTCCTTTGTTCATCCTAGTTTGATGCCTGTGATGGTGGCCAGAGCTGTTTCATGCCTGGGGCACATAAAAGTCATGATACTGGACTCTGTTTTCTACCTGAATCTGCCTGAGACACTGGCCTTATAGATAAGAGTACTTATTGAGGCTTAGGGAATGTCTTTAAGTGTTCAAGTGGCTGATGTGATTATTCTAGGCATAGGTAATATAAGTAAAAGATACAGTAGTGTTCTATTTTAAGGCCTTTATGTCCAAAGCATGCTCTTTTTTTTGAGAGTGAACATGCTACATAGCTTCAGTTCTGTGACAGGGTGGGTCTGTCATTTAGCTTAAAACTGGTAACTGGTTGTTGTGTGATGAAATAAATGGGTCACAATTGGGTTTCAGAGTTAAAGATTTTGCCTATCTAGAGTAAGAACCTACATTAAGATTACCTCAGAGGCTTTGTTGTGAATCATTCTATGCTTAGGAATCAGACTGAGTTCAATTGCTATCTTTGCCACTTACTGACAGTATGATTTTAAGTGGATTATTTAACCTCTGCCTGTTTCTCAGCTGAGTAGTTAGCATAATAATAGTACATCTTTGAAGAACTAGGCCTGACACAGTTGTAGCTAATGTACAAATATCTGTTTTTCTCTGGGCTCAGATACAGAAAGTGGTCATGGCACTAGGAGACTACATGGGTGCCTCCTGCCACGCCTGTATTGGGGGCACCAATGTGCGTGCTGAGGTACAGAAACTGCAAATGGAAGCGCCCCATATCATCGTGGGTACCCCTGGTCGTGTGTTTGATATGCTTAACCGGAGATACCTGTGTAAGTATTTCATGTAAGTGCCATGGGCCACTTCTCTCTTGTATGCTTTCCCAGTTTTTCCACTTGAGCAAAAGTCATTCTCAAGGATGCTAGTTTCCCCATTCACTGAAAGAGTTGCTCTGTGATGATCCCCATGCGTGTCATCTGAGCCTGGCTTCCCTGTCAGCTCAGCCCAGCTAGTTAGTGTTCTACTTCCCAGGGCTGTGGTCTGGCCTGGCGGGGACATTCTGGGCAAAGGATCAGTTTTGGTATTCTGAGAGCAGACTACTTGTTTTCCCCTCTCTGTTCTTTATTGGGAAGGTTGGATATATCTTTCCCTAATTACTAAATATTGGTACTTTTTTTTCTCTAGCTCCAAAGTACATCAAGATGTTTGTACTGGATGAAGCCGATGAAATGTTAAGTCGTGGATTCAAGGACCAGATCTATGATATATTCCAGAAGCTCAACAGCAATACCCAGGTGAGAAAAATAGTCTTCTTTGGATAGCCAGTGACTGCTTTCTAGATTATGCTGTGAGTTTGCACATCAAGTCTTTTTATGCTGTGAGTTTGCACATCAAGTCTTTTTATGCATCTGCTTCAGTTGTAGGTATGGCTTGGGGTGGGCCTCATGAAGTAGCCAGTGCCCTAAGGCAGATGTCTTTAACTTATCAGGTGGTTTTGCTGTCAGCTACAATGCCTTCTGATGTGCTTGAAGTGACCAAGAAGTTCATGAGGGACCCCATTCGGATTCTTGTCAAGAAGGAAGAACTGACCCTGGAGGGTATCCGCCAATTCTATATCAACGTAGAACGAGAGGTGGGGCCCCGGTGCAGGAGGCGGGCCTGGTGGTAAGTTGTTGGGTATAGCCCCTGACTGATTTTTCTTCCTCCCCCACCCCATCCCCCACCTCCAGGAGTGGAAGCTGGACACACTGTGTGACTTGTATGAAACCCTGACCATCACCCAGGCAGTCATCTTCATCAATACCCGGAGGAAGGTTGATTGGCTCACTGAGAAGATGCATGCCCGAGATTTCACTGTCTCTGCCATGGTGTGTTTTCTTCCTTGTCACCAGCCCTGTGTGGGTCTGACAGTCAGACTCTTACCTCAAGCTAGTTTTTCCAGAATCCTTATGTATACCTGCTACATGGTTCTGGTTTTTTCTTGTAGCATGGCGACATGGACCAAAAGGAGCGAGATGTGATTATGAGGGAGTTCCGCTCTGGTTCTAGCAGAGTACTGATTACCACTGACCTGCTGGTGAGTAGAGGGAATTTAGAGAAGATGGGAAAGGAAGAGAGGAAATCCAAGGTGATTCCCTCTCCAAGGGGACGAATAGTGCCCTTCTTAGGAAAGTAGCAACTTGGAATAAAATCTGGCATGCCTGAGGTCTTTGGGGGACAGGGAATGCTTGCTTCCTCTGCCTTCCTTTGGCTGCCTACATGCATACATTCTTAAGTCCTTCCTGGATAGGTTGTGCCCTCTTACATGCTGAGGTCTTCTTTCTTGACATAGGCCAGAGGCATTGATGTGCAGCAGGTTTCTTTAGTCATCAATTACGACCTTCCTACCAACAGGGAAAACTATATCCACAGGTAAGTGCAGATCTAGAGCGCTTCCCTTAACCACCTCATGCCCAGCCCTCCCTGGGCTGTAGCTTGTTTCTGATTTCTTTCCCACTCCCTTATTCTTGGTTTTCAGAATCGGTCGTGGTGGCCGGTTTGGCCGTAAGGGTGTGGCTATTAACATGGTGACAGAAGAAGATAAGAGGACTCTTCGAGACATCGAGACCTTCTACAACACCTCCATTGAAGAGATGCCCCTCAATGTTGCTGACCTCATATGAGAGGGGCTGTCTTGCTACCTAGCCCTGGCCAAGACTCAATCTTGAGGGGCTGAGGAGCAACAGGAGGGGGGAGGGAAGGGAGCCAAGGGATGGACATCTGGTCATTTTTTTTCTTTTTTTTTTCCTTTGAATAAATGTCACTTTTTGAGGCAAAAGAAGGAACCGTGAACATTTTAGACACCCTTTTCTTTGGGGTAGGCTCTTGCCCCAGGCGCCGTTTCTTCTCAAAAAAAAAAAAAAAAAAAAAAACAACAACAACAAAAAAACACTAATCCAGTTCCTTAACCTAGTCACCTCCAGATCCCAGAGGCTCTCCTCACCCCAGCCAAGTTCCTTTGAAAGTGGTTCAAGGGACTATTATACATCACACAACCTCATCTGCTGGACCAAATCTGGAGGGAAAACCCCAGAGTGAGGTTGCCCAGGGGATTTTCCCCAGGTGGGGGGAGCAGGGGAGAGAAAATGGTAGCCATTTTTACATTGTTTTGTATAGTATTTATTGATTCAGGAGACAAACACAAAATTCTGAATAAAATGACTTGGAAACTGCCTGTTTGGGCTTCTCATTTCTTACTTCCCCCTTCCCTCTCCCACCTGCTACTGGGAATATATCTTGGCTTCCCCCCAGCTAATGAACTTTGGGCTGTTTTGCTTTCTTGTCACCTCAGTTACCAGATGAGCCATTTCCCCTCAGCGCTTGAGAAAAATGGCAATGTTAACAGGATAATGTGACACTCTGTAAGGAGCTGGGTGTTCACTATCACAAGTGCCTCACGTGCTTCAGCTAAGGGGAAGTAACAGATGGGAGAGTAATGGGGGAAGGGGAGTGGAAATAAGTGGGTTCCAATGTTATCTCTGTTGGACTTCCAGGGAGACCTCTAGGGGAGGGGCCTGACATTTATCAACTGGTCCTGTATCCACCTGCCACAACTGCTGAGCAAGTTTTGCTGAGGTAGACAAATGGGTCCCTGTGGATCAACTGCCCCAGAACTATCTAGTTCTCCACCCACGTGACATTCTTGACTTTGCCCTGATAGCTCCCACTTAGGAAGCTGGGGCTAATAGTCTCCTAACTTAATTACAAAAACCAGTGACTAAGAGATTGGTTGCTGGAGCTGAGGTGCCTGAGTCAGGTTGGGGGTGGGATTATTTCAGTTACAGGAAGTGAGACTTTCAATTCCTCCTTTCCAAGAGAAGGCTGAGGGAATAGGGTTCAGCAACGAGTACTGACAGCCTAGCTGGGCTTTAGGTGAGGAGGTTCTGCCATGAGGCTGGCTGTGCTTTTCCTGGGGGCCTTGCTGGGACTACTAACAGGTAAGGAGAATGGGGGTACTGAAGGGAGGGAACCTGTGGAAAGAAGCCTGTCCTCAGATGCTAACCAGTCTCTTGGCCAAAAGCCCAGGGAACAGGGAATGACTGTCTTCACAAAAAGTCAGCCACTCTGGTGCCGTCCTTCACGGTGACACCTACAGCTACAGAGAGCACTGGGACGACCAGCCACAAGACTACCAAGAGCCACAAGACCACCACTCACTGGACAACCACCACAGACACCACCAGCCACGGGCCCACCACTGCCACTCACAATCCTGCCACCACCACCAGTCATGGAAATGCCACGGTTCATCCAACAAGCAATAGCACTGCCACTAGCCATGGACCCTCAACTGCCACTCACAATCCTGCCACCACTACCAGTCATGGAAATGTCACAGTTCATCCAACAAGCAATAGCACGGCTACTAGCCCAGGATCCTCCACAAGGTCACCCCACCCAGAACCACCTCCACCCTCTCCAAGTCCTAGCCCAGGCTCCAAAGAGACCGTCGGAAACTACATATGGACTAATGGTTCCCAGCCCTGTGTCCACCTCCAAGCCCAGATTCAGATTCGAGTCCAGTATGCAACCCAGGGTGGAGGAGAGGTAAGGCTAGAACAGTGGGGATGTGAGGGGAAGGAAGCAAGACCTGCCGTGGTTCAGAGGGAAGAGTACAGGAGGGGACTGGGAGCTTCGGGTGGCTTGCATGTAGGCTCGTGATCTTCTGATTGTTAACTTTCACAGGCCTGGGGCCTCTCTGTACTGAACCCCAACAAAACTGAGGCCCAGAGGGGCTGTGAAGGTGCCCATCCCCACCTGCTTCTCTCATTCCCCTATGGACATCTCAGTTTTGGATTCCAGCAGGTATTGTTTCACCCTCAATCTCTCACTCACCCTCCCAGTGCCCCATCCCCACCAATCCCCTGTGGTACTCCTTCCTCTGTGGACATGGATACCACTCCCTGCTGCTGCCCTAAGACCTCCTGTTCACCCCCCAGGACCTACAGCAGGGTGTTGTCTATCTGAGCTACATGGCTGTGGAGTACAATGTATCCTTCCCCCAGGCAGCACGTGAGTAACCTTCCCATTTTCACTGCTAGCACAAGATGCTGGGGTTTCTGAAGGGCCTCAGCTGGGGATGGGGAGGTGGATAGGATCTGACCCTTCCTCCCTCCTTCAGAATGGACATTCTCAGCTCAGAATTCATCCCTTCGAGATCTCCAAGCACCCGTGGGCCACAGCTTCAGTTGCAGAAATACAAGCATCATTCTTTCACCAGCTGTCCACCTGGATCTGGTCTCCCTGAGGCTACAGGCTGCTCAGTTGCCCCACACAGGGACCTTTGGACCAAGTAAGACCTACCTTCCCTCCTAGAATTCTCCCAGTGCGCTGAGAGCCCTTTCCCCAGGCCCAAAGCTATTCATCACTTTTCGTTTTTGAATTGGAGTCTCACTCTGTCACCCAGGCTGGAGTGCAGTGACACTGCTCATGGCCACCACAGCCTTGACCTGCTGGGTTCAGGAGATCCTTCCACCTAAGCCTTCCAAGTATCTGGAACTACAGGCATGCAGCACCATGCCCAGATAATGCTTTGGTGTGTTGTAGAGACGAGGTCTCATCATGTTGCCCAGGCTGGTCTCGAACCTGTGGGCTAAGGCAGTCCTCTTGCCTCAGCCTCCCAAAGTGCTAGGATTACAGGTGTGAGCCACAGCATCCAGCCCATCTCTTCTTAAGCCTCCAAAGTCTCCACCTCTCACCGGCTTGTCAGGGATATAGGGCAACTGCCCTCTCTCACGTAAGATTCTCCACTTCCTGCTCTAAGTCATCATCTCGGTGAGCTCCTCATCACCCTCTTGCTCGCCGGCATCCCCCACATCCCTTCCTCCTCCTCCGCCTCGCACCTTTTCCCCAGCCACTGCCACTGCAGTGTCTACTTGCCCATCCTTCTGCCAGGTTTCTCTTGTCCCAGTGACCGACCCGTCTTGCTGCCGCTCATCATCGGCCTGGTCCTCCTCGGCCTCCTCGCCCTGGTGCTCGTTGCCTTCTGCATCGTCCGGAGACGCCCAGCCGCTTACCAGCCCCTTTGAGCAGCTCCAACCCCCAAGGCGCCAGTGGGGATACACGCGTTTCCTCACCATGCAACTGGCTCAAAGGCAAAGTTATCTTCCTTGCTTGTCTTCCTTGAAGAACAAAACTAGAAGCAATGCAGTCTGGAGGGAGGAGGGGAGACATTTTTATTAAATATGACAGATTCCCCCTCCCCCATTCCCAGTAGAAGAGTAGCAAAACCTACTCAAATCTTTGTCCTTGGTTTCCCTTATCCTGCCAGGATTAAAAGTCATCCGTTTCTTGTCACACGCCTTTCTGTGCCTTCCATGGTTGAGTGTCAGGGAGCCGGAAACAGCTGTTGAGGAGGGATGAAAAGATCAACGTGTGACCAAATATCCTCTTGGGTTCATCCCCTCAAGGCCTGGCACAAGTTGGTGTTGGGTCTGCCACGCCTCCCTTCCTCCCTGCTCTTCCTTTTGGGCCCACTGGCTGCTCCAGTTCTCCCTCCCCAGCAATCTGATGAAGCCATCCATCCCGCAGTCTTTTTTCCCCATCCTCATAGTTACAGATGCAGCAGACAGCCAAAGCAATGAGTGGGCAGTTCTGTGATTTCACTTCCAAAGGCAGTCCCAGTGGCTGCTGAGCAATGAGAATGTCCTGCCCGGTCCACTGTGACCAGGGCTAGCTGAAGAGCCCAATTAAAGCTCCCCCACCTACAAGTGGTTGCATTAACCACAGGAGAAAAGGAGAAATAGGTACTTTGACTTCCACTGGGAGCATCTGGGAACAGCACACCCCCCCGAGCCTGGGCCACCTGCCTAGCCAACCCTGATTCTCCCAGTATTGGAGGAGGGGAGGGGTAGTGTCACTCATTCCCAGAACAGCCTGTGTCCAGATTCTCGGAGGGGCCTTGCAGATGGTCACAGCCTGCACGACCACGGAGTGCCTGTCCCACCCTTTACAGTAAGTAGACTGGCGGCATAATCGCTGGGAACCAGGATGAGCGCCACCTCCCCAACCCCGCCCCCAACCGTAGGAGCCCCGTGAGAATAAAGAAAGCGGCCACCACGGCCTGGATGGAGACCTGCCCCATAGGGCAACCCGCACGTAGCAGACATCCCCTATGAGCTAGGGCCACCGAGGGGCTGCTTGGCAGCGGGATGGCCAGGCGCGCCGTGGGCACTGGGTGGCGGAACAGAGCGCTCCCGCCGAGGAGTCCAAGGTGCCCTTTCCCAAGAGAAGCCGCGGGGCCCATTCGGCCTTGCTGAAGTCCTGGTTCAGCAGGAGGTGCGCCCTCGGGTGGCGGGGTGGGGGAGAGCCCCAGGGCTGCCACGCCAGGCCGCTGACGGAGAACGCCAGCTGCGCGCTCCAGGTGGTGGCTCAGGGACTGCCTTCCCCGACCTGCGCTGCTCCCCCTCCTCCTCCGCTTCACCGTCCTGGGCCCAGCAGTTGCTGGCGCACCCATGCTCCAAGGCCTGGGCGACCGGGAGAAGGACGGGGCCCTGCGGGCACCCTGGCGCCTAAGAGCTGCCTGGAGCCGACTGTCCAGCTCCCCCCGGCGCCGTTCCCTCTGGAGACACCGAGAGAACCGGAGAGAGCGAGCTACAGCGACCCCACCCAGCGCCATTTTAGAGATTCGTGCTCCTTCTCTCTCAACTTCGAACAATATAAAGTTGGCTGGGAGAAGACAAGATGGCGTCTAGCAGGAGGAGCAGAGAAAGGCAGGGGTATAAATCTTGCTTTCGAACTGGAAACGTCAACAAAAGCTCGGAAGGTCTCACTGCGCAGGCGTACAGCTTTGGCACACTCTAGAATCTGAACAGCGGGGCGCGTCTAAAACTAGGTCTCTGCATGAGACCTATTTTACGCTACTGAAGCTAGGGTGGCGTGAGAAAGAGCGAGGAGCAGGGGGCGGTCCGGGTTCGCCGCGGGAAGAGTTAAGAGGCGGAGTGCCTGGAGCGCGCACGCGCAGCGTAGGTCAATGGCGGTCTGGAGAGACGCGAAAGTTAGCTTTGCAATATGGCGGCCGAGGCAGACGGACGACTTAAGCGGCTGCTGGTGCCCATTCTTTTACCTGAGAAATGCTACGACCAGCTTTTCGTCCAGTGGGACTTGCTTCACGGTGAGTTGTAGTCAGCATCTGGTCTAAGTCCTGCTCGAGCGACCGTGGGCCTTACGTCCGAGCCGTGACAGGCGCCTAAGTGACGGCGGTGGCTGCTGCCACGCTGAGCTGAGCGGAAGTCACTTCTGAGAGGGGCGGAAGTGTCTCGGGCCCATAGGAAGAGGACGCCATATTTGGGCCAGAGGGGAGTTGCCGGGTGGTCTTTGTGAAGTTTGTGCTTTAAGCTACAATGAAGGACGAAAGACTCAGATTTGACAACAAATAAAAATCAGGTCAAAACATTACACTCTCTGATCGACTGCTAACAGGGTTAAACTTAATCCAAAGTCTCTGATGAATCAAGCCCCAAAGGCTCCTGCCACCCTGATTGCTGTCTCTCCAGCCTCCACGTTTCCTCAAGGTCTAATTTTGGAATAATTTGCCTTGTTTCCTTACCTCTTTCTACTTGCCAGGCAGTTCACAAGGTCCATCTCAGACATCAGACCCTTTGGGAAACCTTGGTGTGCTTTTGTCAGTTCATGGGGCTCGTGGGGCGCTTTGTTTTAGCCACGTTCGTGACTCCCACTGGCCCAAGCTCCTTGAGGGGAAGGTTTCAAGGTTGGAGAAGTTGTGCGGTGGCCGGGGCATAAAAGCATCCCTGGAAGGGTGAAGTCCTTGTGTAGGGTCCAGGGACACTGAGAGGGTTCAGAAATGAGTGGTATTGAGACCTTTATTTGGAGAGAGAAGTCATGTGAAGTGGGCTGTCCAGTTGCTCCGGGAGGTAAAGGATCAAAGGACTCTTGTATATTGCTCAGCTTTATGCAGGGAAGTAATGGAGAGCCTTGGAGGTCAGTTTAGATATTAATTTGTAGGGAATGGAAGATTGGGTGGGAGGGAAGGCATATGGTAAAGCTGTTTTGGAAAACAGTCTGAATGTGAGATGGTTTGGAACAGGAAGGACCAGGCCTTTTTTCCCTGTCCCCAAACTCACAGAAGACTTCCTTGTGTGGGTCTGAGTGTGGAGGGGGCAGCCCAGCCCACAAGAGCACTTCAGGTCCTGTGCTGGGTTCCAGCAGCCTCCTCTCTGCTAACCCCTTTTTCTCTTTTCAGTCCCCTGCCTCAAGATTCTCCTCAGCAAAGGCCTGGGGTTGGGCATTGTGGCTGGGTCACTTCTGGGTACGTATCTTATCTTCCTTTCCTGCTGCTAGGATAGGGGCAGAGGTTCTAAGAGACCATAAACTGTATAGGTCTGTCTTTTTTTTTTTTTCTTTTTTGAGTTGGCGTCTCACTGTCGCGCAGACTGGAATGCAGTGGCCGCTCCTGGCCACCGCAGCCTCGACCTGCTGGGCTCCGGTAATCCTTCCGCCTCAGCCTTCCGAGTAGCCGGAATTACAGGTGCGCGCTACCACCCTCGGCTGATTTTTTGATTTATTGTAGAGATGAGGTCTCGCTGCCCAGGCGGGTCTTGAACCCGCGGACTCACGCAATCCACTCACCTCAGCCTCCCAAAGGTGCGGGATTACAGGCTGAGCCACCGAGCCCGGCTAACTTTTTTGATTTATTGTAGAGACGAGGTCTCACCAAGTTGCCTAGGCAGGTCTCAACCCACTGGACTCAGGCAATTGCCTCCCAAAGTGCTGGGATTACAAGCATGAGCCACTGCGCGCCAGGCTGTATGGGTCTCTTAACCAGAGTGGGTTTAACATGCTTCCCAGTCCATTCAGCAGCTATTGTGTTGTGCCCCCAAGGGGTGGAAGCTCCTCAACTCTGCCCTTCTCATCCTTTCCCCAGTAAAGCTGCCCCAGGTGTTTAAAATCCTGGGAGCCAAGAGTGCTGAGGGGCTGAGTCTCCAGTCCATAATGCTGGAATTAGTGGCATTGACTGGTACCATGGTCTACAGCATCACCAACAATTTCCCATTCAGGTGAGGTCCCACTCTTCATCCCCAAGGGTAAATGCCCACAACTCTAATGGGGGTTAAGGTGTGGGAGGTAAAAGGGCAGGAAAGCTTAAGTGCTTAATCATCAGTAGTGGAGGTAATGAGAGGAGGTGAGCATCCCAAGAACGGCCAGGATCCAGAATGAGTCCATCGCGGATGGAGGCTGTAGAGAACAGAATAATCAGAGAATTGTGACCCTGGATGGATGGGCTATGGAGGCTTTCCCTGCCTCTTTCCAGGCCTGCCTTTCTTCCTCCCAACTCTTGACTCTGCAGCTCTTGGGGAGAAGCCCTATTCCTGATGCTCCAGACGATCACCATCTGCTTCCTGGTCATGCACTACAGAGAACAGACTGTGAAAGGTGCTGGGGATTTACCCAAGAGCAGGCATTGGCTCCTGGGAACCCTGCTGGGAGCTCTGGCCTGGGGAAGCTGGAGGTTGTTGAGAGGTTGACAAGATTCCCTGTCTCCCAACCCCCAGGTGTCGTTTTCCTAGCTTGCTACGCCCTGGTCCTGTTGGTGCTGCTCTCACCTCTGACGCCTTTGGCTGTAGTCACCCTGCTCCAGGCCTCCAATGTGCCTGCTGTGGTGGTGGGGAGGGTGGGTACCAGGAACAAGGGAAAGGATGCTGGGGGAGGGGGACAGGGTGGAGGGGCAGAAGGCCAAAGTATGGGGGTATTGGATGGAGGGGAGTGGGGAAATCATCCATGGGAGCACAGGAAAAATTTTGATAACATAACCAAAGGTCTCAACTCCTCCCCCAGCTGCTCCAGGCAGCCACTAACTACCGCAGTGGGCACACAGGCCAGCTTTCAGCCATCACAGTCTTTCTGCTGTTTGGAGGCTCCCTGGCCCGAATCTTCACTTCTGTTCAGGTGAGCACACCTTATAGCTTCTAGAAGGCACTAAAACCTCATCTTCTCCCAGTTAAGGGCTTAAAGCTGCCCCCTCTCCAGAGCCTTTGTCCACAGGGGAACTTTTCGGGGCTATTCTGAAGGGTGACCCTGACTCTATTTCTCACAACTAGGAAACTGGAGACCCCCTCCTGGCTGGAACCTTTGTGGTCTCCTCCCTCTGCAATGGCCTCATCGCAGCCCAGCTCCTGTTCTACTGGAATACAAAGCCTCCCCATGAGCAGAAAAAGGCACAGTAGTACCCAGCCTGCTCCTGGAGTCATTCAGTGTTTCCATTCAGCCACCCAACTTCAAGGTCCACCCCATCTGAGCCAGACTACTGGTGTGACTTAATCACCCTCCATTCCTCTGCAATTGCAGCCTCTTGAGTCAGGGTTTCCTTTTAGTGGAAATGGCTGGATCCAGATCCTTAAGAAAAAAGGAGAGGACAGAACTAGTCTTTCAAGCTGGCGTTTTGACGTTTGAGTGGTTTTCTAAGTCTTGTTCATGTGCTGTTAATCAGTTGGCTTAGACTCCTCCTTAGCTGCAGACTCCTCCTTAGCTGGTTTCCAGCTGTTTTTACACTATTCTAGACAAATGTCTTACCAGTCTTCCCACCTTATGTCCCTTCTAGCCTTAGAGCACAGAGCCTGGGTAGTGGCATGGAAAGAACTAGGGGCTGTGCTTCCCACCTCCGCAGCCTAGATGAAACTGTCTCCTGGACCCCAATGCTGGGGGAATGAGGATGAGAATGACTCAAGCAGTGCCCCAGGGTGGGGTGAGGAGGTTCCTGCTCTGGCAGGCCTAGGCGGAAGGGAGTGGAGATGGGGCTGGTTCCTGCTGCAGTGAAGGGGGAACAGTGATGGGACAATAAAGACTCAAGAGACTGGCTTAATCGTACAAAACTGTTTAATCCTACAAAAAATAAAAATGTGTTGCTCTCCCTGGTTTTCATGGGAATACTGCAGATCTCCTCTGAGCTGTGCAGTCTAACACAGGAAAGGGTTTGCAGCCTAGGGGCGTTCTAGGTGAAAAAGAATGATGCATTTCCGGAGGTCTTTGTCCATAAGCGTTAGAGGTGGGTGAGGGGCATGGGGGCACCAGAGAGGGGAGGACTATAGGGAGTGGGAGAGCCTGGGGGCAGGTAGGAGCTGTAGGAGGGGAGCAGCTCTCCCTGGAGCCTAGGGTCACTCTGAGGGAGGGAACATGGTGATGGGGCATCCGGTTTGCAGTGGGAAGCACTGTAGAGAAAGAAACATGGGGTTAGACGATACTTCTCTGGGTTGGAGGCATAGGTGGAGGCATGGGTAGAGGCTCAGCTGACCAGTACTGGGCATATGGGGTAGAGCTTGCCATCCCCACAGCCCTGACTATTGGGGCCCGTTGAGTGCAGCTGGCATGAAACCAGACCCAAGGGTGGCTTACAGAGCAGCCCAGCCCTGTTGGGGCACGCTCAGGAGCAGGCTTGCGTGCTGCCCAGCTATTTTCCTCTTGGGGCGGCAGGCCAGGAAGGGGCAGAATGAGCTTGGCCTCTCCTTGCCCGGAGGGTTGGGAGAGGAGGCTGGGTCACACACAGGCCAGAAGAGGGGGAATGGGGTGTCCGGATGATTAAAACAATCACATCCAGGGGTCTGTCATCTGCCCCTGCAGGGCTGCCACCTCCAAGCTGAGACAGCAGAGCCCTTTGGGAAAGGTGCCTGCCACACCTCAAACGGGAGTGGCCTCTACTTGGGTGGGCTCAGGTCCTCTAGCCAGGCCCTCCGGCACCCGCCACCTCTCAGGTTACTGGAGAGGGACACAAACCCGCTCTCAGCCAGCTACCGGAGCACTCACCCATAGCTGCCGGGCAGGTACGCTGTCGAGTAGTTGGGGGGTCTATATCCGAAGCCTCTGCTCGCCTGGGTGGTCGCGCACCCCGGTTCCCAGAGTGGGCCGCCGCCGGCAAGACTGCCTCTTCCCTGGCTGAAGTGGGACGGCCCGGCGCCTGAGGTCTTGGCCTTGCGCCGAGGCCTATACTTGTAGTCGGGGTAGTCGCGCAGGTGTCGGGCGCGGAGCCGCTTGGCCTCCTCCACGAAGGGCCGCTTCTCGTCCTCGCTCAGCAGCTTCCACTGCGCGCCCAGACGCTTAGAGATTTCCGAGTTGTGCATCTTTGGGTTCTGCTGCGCCATCTGGCGGCGCTGAGCGGAGCTCCACACCATGAACGCGTTCATGGGCCGCTTCACCTTCTCCAAGGGAAGCCCCCCGGAGACTACTGGGCTTCCAGCGTCCCCCCGCTCCTGAGGTCCCGAAGACGAGGAGGCAGCGGCTGTAGGAGCCGGAGGCTCCAAGCTCCAGGCCTGGTCCTGTGAGGAGCCGGGTAGCGCCATGGGTTGAGGGAAAGCCTTAAGGAGGGCGTCCTGAATGCCCTCCCCTCAAAGTGAGCTGACCCTGAAGTGTCTTCCAGTCTGGAGTTGTTGTGGAGGAACTCAGGTCCTTAAAAAGTATCTATCATCCCCAAGTCCAGACCTTAAAGTGGAGCCTTTGCTTCCAACCAATTCGGCACACTTTGGAGAAAGTAGAATGCAAAATCCGTTGTCTGATATCCCCACACTGGGGAGGTTGTGCTCTTCCCTCCTGTCTCGAGGTCTCTTGATTGGGAGTCCACCAGTTCCTCTCTCTCTGCCCGCAGGTGCTACTGGACCGACCTCCGGTGGAGGCGGTAAACCACAAGCCTTCACTCTGTGGTCTCCAGAGTTCCCACTGCTGCCAGGTGCAGATGCCACAAGTCTCTCCCACCTGGGCTCAGCGTCAGTGGCTGGCGGGCCAGACCCAGGAAAGGCTTTTAAAGAATGACTCCTCCCCAGTCCCTCCCAGAAGGCTGCGCCTCCTTAAGGGGCCAACTTCCCCCCGCCCTTGGGCAAACTCAGGTATCCTGTTTGTCCCAGCCCCCAACATTCCCCCTTGGGGCACCACGCCCCTCCCCACCCAAGACCTAGATGTCAGGCCTTCCATCCCTAGTTGCTATGATTGTCTGCCCTCCCTTCTTAAGTATTGGCAATTTAAAGTCAATTTCTTTCCACAATGGGATTAAGCACTGGGGATCAAATAGCCTCGGGGTCAGGGTTGTGCTAGGTGGCGCTTGGGAACATTCTACCCCCAAGCCCCATCCCCTTTTCTGGTTCCTATTGCTCCTCAAACCCAGGACTTGTCCCTGGGGCAACAAAGTTAGGCAAAGGGAGGTAGGCCATTTTTGTTTCCTGAGTCATTCCAGCAGGTGCTTGGGTGGTGATTCAGCTCCTTTCCCCAGGAGAGAAAACTTAAGCCCTCCCAACTCCAGCCCCCAAAGCCAAGATTTCTCCCATGGCCACTGAACTATGGCAAGTTTTTTTTTTTTGAGTTGGAGTCTCACTCTGTCGCCCAGACTGGAGTGCAGTGGCCGCTCCCGGCCACCGCAGCCTGCTGACCTGCTGGGCTCCGGCGATCCTTCTGCCTCAGCCTTCCAAGTAGCTGGAACTACAGACGCGCGCTACCACGCCCGGCTAATTTTTTTATTTATTGTAGAGATGAGGTCTTGCCAAGTTGCCCAGGTGGGTCTCGAACCAGCGGGCTCAGGCAATCCACTCACAGCCTCCCAAAGCGCTGGGATTACAGGCTGAGCCACCGGGCCCGGCTACTATGGCAAGTTTTAACTTCACACCTCCAAGAGAGGTCTGTGAGGTGGATGCTGGAGAAAAAGCCTGGAGCCAGATCAGAACACCAGCAAGGAATGAAGGCCGGACATGGGGTTCTAGACGCTGCCATGAGGGAACCCTGCTTCCCACTCTGTCCAAGGCCCAACCCAAGCCCCAGGCCAAAGGTAATCGGATTAAGCAGCCTGCCTTGGCTCCCAGTTTTTAACAGGAACAGTTCCAGCTTTGAGCAGCCCTGCCTAGCCCGAGCTGTGACTCAGGGTATAGGAGTGGCCCAACTCCCTCCACAGCAAACTGGGGGGAGGGGAGAAGCAATAAGGCACAAGCCACCTTCCTCTGGACCAGGAGGGTACCAGGCCTTAGGGAATTTAAGAATGTCAGGAATCCCCAGATTTAAAACCATCTTTGGAACACTAGAGAAAGAAGCCAGGAGTGGAGGAACAGAAAACAAGAGGTAAGGTCCACAGCAGATCAGACTTAGAGAACAAATGGACCAAACTGAGGACAAAGAAGGCACAAGAATCAGAGCCATTTGGATTTTTTTATTCTCTTTTTAAATACTGTACAGTGAAAAATAAATACGCCTTCTCATCCACCAGACAAGGTTGGTCCCCCCTCCCCTGGGGGACCTTGTCAGCCCCCTTCATACACACCCCTGGTTCTACTCCAAAACCTTCCCCATGCCTCCCACCCACTTACACCCTTACTATCCCCGACTTCCACAGTGATGAGGCCCCAGAAATGGGGGGTACAGGATGGGAGGAGGGATAGCAGGGGAGCCCCCCTGAACTGTCAAATCTGGGTGGGTCAAGGAGCACCCCCTACCAACAGGTGGCGAATAGGGGTGTTCAGAGAGATTGGGGTGTTAGAGGATAAAGGCACATCCAGTCTGATGGGGAAGGAGAGAGGCTCCCCTTACCCTGGGGGTAGGGTGGACAAGAGGGAGGGGGGTATGACCCTGTTACACACCCCTCCACTAGCTCCTGGAGGTTGGGGGGGGACCCAAGCTGCTGTGCCACCCCCCTCCCCCCTAGATAAGAGCAGCTCCAGCGCAGGTCAGTTGGTCCTGTGAGGGCCATGGTGTTGGGCAGCAAGCGAGATGGAGAAGGGAGGGATGCAGGCTGGAGGTTTTATGAAACCCCATTCACCAAACTACCCAACTCCAGGGGTGCGGAGAGCTCCCCATTCTCCGAGGGGCCCTTAGAAAGCTTGCTGACAGAGTCACCCTGAGGGGGAAGTGGGAAAGAAAAGAGAAAAGCAAGCAGGTGGTCAGCAGACATTTAGGTGGCTGACACTGCCCACCATCTAAGCCCTCCTGGCATCTGGTAATCCAGGGACTGGTTCCCTGATCTCGCACTCCAGTCACTGAGATGCAGAAAATGTGAACCACACTCTTCTCTCTATTCTGTTCAGAAGTCTGCAGTATTTTATTTTATTTTATTTTAGTTTTTTGAGTTGGAGTCTCACTCTGTCGCCCAGACTGGAGTGCAGTGGCCGCTCCCGGCCACCGCAGCCTCGACCTGCTGGGGTCCGGCGATCCTTCCGCCTCAGCCTTCCGAGTAGCCAGAATTACAGGCATGTGCTACCATACCCGGCTGAATTTTTGATTTATTGTAGAGATGAGGTCTCGCTGTCCAGGCGGGTCTTGAACCCACGGGCTCAGGCAATCCACTCACCTCAGCCTCCCAAAGGTGCGGGATTACAGGCTGAGCCACCGAGCCCGGCTTAAGTCTACAGTATTTTAAATGCAGTCTAAACTCAATCAGACACAGCAGCCTCTGCAATTTAGCAAGAGATTTTTCTGGGACATTTGTGTGTGTCTTCTGCCCCAGAATAACAACAAAAAAGGAATGGGATAAACCACATCTTGCCTACCTACCTTCTGTCCTGAAAGAGAGTCCTCTGAGGGTTTAGTGCGTTCCAGGGCTGGTGGCCGCTGGCGACTTTGAGACTCTGCTCGTGAGATATAGTCAGCCACAGTCACTGGGGAAGGCAGAAGATCAAGCAGTTCAGAAGGAACTCCAGTATACAGCCCAAGATACTCACTGAACCCCAACCCCTGGTTTTCATAGGATAGGAGACATCTCATTCTCTCAGAGGAAGGATTCAGGCTACCAGCATTAGCTGACCTGGCTGGCGGTCTCCACTGATAGAACCGTCAGTCCGGTTACCACGGTTACGGCGGCGGCGGCTGCGATTACGACGTTGGGGTCTTGATTCATCTTCTGTAGGGTAGGGAAAGACGAGAGTCACATCTCCAATTTTCTATCCTTCAATTCGTACCTGTCTCTAATTTTTCAGACCCCAGGCATATCCCTCACCCAGGCCATTCTCTGTCATGTTGGGCCCATCTGATTCCAGGCCTCCATCCATGACAGTCCTGTCTTCATCAGTGCGACGGCGACGGGAGCGGCGGCGCCTGGCACTTGCTGGGGGAGGTTCTCCAGGCTCTGAATCAACTGGGGGCTCTGGTTCAGATGTGTCCAATAGGCTATAGGGATTACTGTCTGGATCCTTCAGCACTGGTCAAAGAAAGAAGTTAGGAGTCAGGTGTCCATCATGTCCATCACCTTTCCTTTTGGCCCACATCCATGAACCCAGTTGTCTAGTACCTGAGCTAATAGATGAAGAATTATATCTGGAGGTGGGCCGGGGGGCAGGTGGGGGTCCCCTACCCCGGCCCCCAATCGGCCGCCTCCGGCTTTCTTCCCCTCGGGTTGGGGGATCCCTGTCACCAGGTCCAGCTCGGCTGGGCTCCTCTCTCTTCTCTGACTCGGTCTCAGAAGCTGTGGATGGGTCAGAGCTGGGACCTGAAGAACACAGTGGAGTTTATTCAGGACCACCCATTCCATCCCAGGATCCATTACAGCCCCCAAACTGGAAGAATTCTCCCTCCCACTCACAAGTCCCCCAACCAGTGTACCTCATCATCTCTACCACAGCTTTCTGTGGTACCTACCAAATTTCCATCTCTACCCTAAATTTCTATCCAGACCTCTTGGCCTCCGCACCAGCCCCGCCACTCCCTGCCTTCCACTCCCATAGTGGCCTCACCATAGGCAGGTCCGCCTGTCCTCCGGCCCCGGCCCCGGCCCCCGTAGCTGCCCCCATAGGTTCGAGTGGCATGGAGGGAGGAAGAGGAGTCATCAGTGGCATATCCAGCCTTGTCGCTGCCACCGCTGCCCCGCCCACTCCCAGGAGGGCGAAAGCCCAGCCCAATCTGCCGAAGCTGTTCATCAATTTGCAGCCTCTCCAAGCGAAGCTGCTCCACCTCCTGGTTGGGTGAAGATGGAAGATACGGGAGGAATAAGATCAATGGACAGTGTCTTTCTTCATGCTTCTCCACCCTGACCGTCCTTACATAATCTCTCAGAGAAGGAAAATGTTGGCTGAACAAGGAAGATTCTGAGATCCAATCCCACAGACCCAAATTTCCAGTGTTTTCTGTTTCACAGAGAGAAAGTCCAGGCGTGGTGGTGGCTCATGCCTATAACCCTAGCACTTTGCCTGAGCCCAAGGGTTCAAGACCAGCCTGGGCAAACTGGGGAGACCTTATCTCTACAATAAATCAAAAAAGTAGCTGGGTGTGGTGGCACATGCCTGTAGTTCCAGCTACTTGGAAGGCTGAGGCGAAAGGATCACCTGAGCCCAGCAGGTTGAGGCTGCAGTGGCTGGAAGCGTGCCACTGCACTCCAGCCTGGGCGACAGAATGAGACTCCAACTCAAAAAAAAAAAAAGAGAGAGAGAGAGAGAGACAAACTGCACACCCCAATTCCTAAGTTTATTCCCCAGCAGTCTTAGTCCCCTTACAATATCCAGCTCTTCTCTC